GCATAGGTACATTGACTCAGGTTCAGTTACGGCCGTTAGCAAACACCAATAATTAGAAGAGCCGAAAATGTTTCTATCTTTGAAAGCAACTCTCGGGAAGGTAATAAATTTACTGAGCGAGCTGTCCAAGGATACCTCCCGCCCCGCACATTTCCAGAGTTTTTACTAACTACGAAAGCCACGTGTTAACGTCTACCCGATCATCAGTAAAGCCTGCCTTACTTCTGGGAGTTTACAGACGCAGTGCTGAAGTGTGGCAGTACTTGAATCAGCCTTAATAGTATTAGTAACGATTATGTAAAAAAAAAAAAGCCAAACCATGGTTCACTTTTGTCACTAAATAAAATACGAACTTATTTAACATGAAAACTTCTCAAAATATCCTTGTTCTAGATGCTTGTTATGCTCCGTGCACAATTCTTACATAGTACTTTATTGATTTTGCTAGTTCCCTAAACTGGAAATACAATATATAGTATGAAGCGCGTCCTTTTTTATTCGCAAATTTTTCCGTTCTCATTTTACTGCTCAACGAGACTGCCTGATTCGTTCGGATTGAAAATGTCTAAGCAAGTATCCGTTAGTAGGCCGCACACGAAAATCACCGGTCAATAAGATTGGGGTTTCATTATTTCTAGTCTCTGTCTATCGCCTGTTCGGTCTCGCTAGGCTTACTGCCTGTTGACAGTTTATCCCTCATTGATGCTGTGTGTAAAAGCTGCTCCGTATTGCTGAAAATTGGCCACCCCACCTCGTTTGGGTAGCGAAGATTGTATGCCCAAGGCCTTAATAATTCTGCGTTTTATTACATTAGTCCTATAGAACAGCGTAGTTGCTTCTACGTATCTAAACATTTATAACCACATTGTACTTTGTCCAATTCGTATGGGCTACAAGTGACTAATTTATGTTTGTTTGCTGCAAAATCAAATCAAACTAGTCATAAGTTATCGACGGCTGATGACTGACGATTGGTCACATTTAGCAGTTCTAGTGTCATCATATGATACATCAAGCGAGTGCATCGTGCATAAAGATAGCTTTCATTAACTGCACCTTTCAGCCCGTTAGCTTCAGAGTCCTGATTTCTACAGCGAAGGTGTTTCTGTTGACAGTAGATGCAGCATCGTGTTCGGGCCGTTGCTTACGGTCTTTTAATGGTTGCTTGGCCGGGTCCGGCCAGCCCAGAACGAGGCCCTATGGCTCACTATTGGTGTGCCAATGGTAGTCAGGTAGAAATAGTCACTCGGGGTAAATAGGATTACCAGAGACACTATTAACGTCCGTTCCAGCTTGTGGTATCAACATATTTATGTGATGTAACACGCTTTATGAACACATTTCATGAAACGTTGCTATCAAGTAGTTGTATAGATTTCACAGTAAATACGTATAATATATAATCTACTTGCAACAGTTCGGTCAGCCTAAACATGCCGTACTAAAGGCACGTGGCCTCAACTAAACATTTTCCGTATGTAGGTTTGTGCACAAATTGGGATTACAACTTACCTTACTACGAAGAGAATATTTTAAATACTTCATAAACATTAAATTTAACCAAGTAGTTTATTGCGCAATAGCTAAGAAGATGTATTACCTCACTACCGCAACTTCTTTCGATTTAATCTTTCGATAAGACGAAAGCACGTAAGTACATTAACTATGTAACAGTCTCGGAGTCTCCGAAAGTTAAATAGGGGCAAAGACGGGGACCTACCAACAATGTCTTGGAAGCGCCAGGTGGAAGAATGACTATCGCTACTTTGTCGGGTCCTTAGGCCTCATTTTGTACCTCGCCTATTTTAAGCGATGGATCGGCAGTAGTGACAGCTAGCACTCCACGCAAACAAAGTACGTTGTGGTTATGCCCTCGTCGAAGCCATCCGGGACGGAAAAGCAACCCTAGTCATCTGTGCAGAGTATAGTGAGTTGGAAGCGCGCTGTCCCGTACAGGAAACATACCTATCGGTTTTCTGTGTGTATTAAAGAATATCCAATACAATTGTGATTGAAGCGTTCGTTACTCTACTAAAGCACACGAAAGCTCTTAGTAAAGATGATACGAGCTACGTATGCGCAGTGGCTATCCTGCATAGTCTCCCTAGTAGAGTAACCAGGTAGGTCAGACAAAAATAACCTAAATATCTGACCTTAAAACTAATCTCTTTACCTTTCGACCATAGCCGAAACATTTTCGGCTACGAATTGCTATACCGTTGGCCTACTAAAGGTAAAGGACTAACTATTAAGGTAAGCGATATTGTTTAGCACGCATACTCACCATACGAGCTCTCAATTAACAGAATTGTAACATATATTCCAATTATGCTATGACTATATAACGAATATATATGTAGTATACAACATACGGAAGCTTTTGTCAGTAAGAGATGAGACCGACTCACCCCACGAGGGTTGTTCAAGGTGGATAGCGAGGTTGACCATTTTATCTAAATTAGACGCATTATTTTAAGGAAAAATAGAACGAAATAAGTTGATTAAATAAATCGAAACGAACCGATTAGGTCGGTGTAGTTTTAGATTATAATGTACTCTATAATGTAAAGGTACTAGATCGCCTAAATATCTTAAAGCATCGTAAGTTTACTATTCTAAATCAGGGTTGTATTCGAACGTTGTCGATACACGATTAGTCGGTACACAATAGACAATACGTGAGAGAGGTTTTTAGCACCAGCTTATTTAACGGCAACGGGCAAACGGCAACTTGCTCAAACGGCAAAGGGACGAAGCTCGGCACGATATTGAGCGTTGAATAGTATCACATAGGTTAGTCTATAGAATTGATAGAAGCACTACCGTAATGTTAAGTCGGAGCTAGCATTATAACGATTTACATACATTACTCCAATTAGCTTAGGCAGTTTCGCTTCCAAGATTGTACAATGCATAGGTCGATTGTTTAGATGCGGCCACTCCACCGACCCTGTATAGGGGTCAAATGCGCTCACATTGTTTCGTTCCCTTCTTTAATTATTACTTCACTTTTCAATGGTTCGCTGCGTTATTTACCGCACGTATTTAGAGTGACCATTGATAACGACGTCGTCGAAACTTTGCCGACAGCAAACTTGTCTGACGAAACAGCTAAACTGATCCGCTGCCAAACAAATTAGGTACCTCAAGTTCCACGGTGCTTGTTTATACGGTATTGCTTAAGGCTTTGTATGATAGCGCAACTAACACGAAGGCTCATTATAGCCTTTATAACAATTTGCTGTACACAAAAACGTATATTAGATGCGTATCTTAAAGTTCTGCCGTACATAGGTCGCTACTATGCTTCTGTTCTAAAAAGCATCTGCAAGAAAATCTAAAATTGTTGCAATGTGTGTACGGGCTAGACTCGTACACAGGTTTCGGTAAGGTCAAAAGTGATTACGAATTACGTCAAATTCGATAAGGCTGACCGTTTTAACCTCAATGCGAAACATTCTAGCCGTTACTGTGATTTCATAGTGCAAAAATAACCACTACAAATCATCATAGCTTATTCTAATCTGATACCCTAACGGGCAAACGATCGTTGTCACTTTGTCCAAACTGGTTCTTTAAAAGCCTGACTGTCTTGATTGCCCGCGGGTACAGTTATCGCTGCCCGATTCGCCCTGCTAAAGCTCGCTGGGTAGTTAGACTATCAGTCGATTGCTAGCTGCTTCCAGGAAAGTTGGACGCCAATTTCCGGAATTTGTTTCAGCATTGGAAATCGCTAGCTGGATAAGCCATGCTAGATGGGTCAAAATGTTTATCTCGAACCATCAAAGACGTTACCTGCATCGCTGATGAAAACCAACACGACCGAACGAGCTGATCCTTTACGCTATTCGTTCACGCCCTGCTGCTGGGTGCCTAATGAAAGGACAATCATTATGATCCAACCGAATTCACAATATTATCAATCTCATACCATGAACTAGTAGTAAATAAGACAGCATTTCGTTTACATACTAAATGAAAAACTGCGCTATTAGACTCCTATAGATGTTGCCCTTGCATGCCCCTGACTTTGACTCGGGGCTACAAGGTTGAGCCTGTGGCATAACCAAAGACAGCTTTAAGATGACGGTGTTCGTAATTGTATGTAACTCTGGACGTGTACTTAGAAGACGCTTAATAAAGTTGCATTTATCCTATACATAAAAAAGCTAAATCCTTCGGAAACGCCATCGAGAACAGCACTAGTATTTTCAAAGCTGTTTTTCCATTGTTCAGCTTTGCTGGTAACACCATATCACACGATTAGGGTGAATATATGACCATCAGAATGCTTACCGTCCCATGGATTCTACGAGTCTAGTTGAGTTCAGAAGGTTTGATCCTACATAAACAATTATTTAACAATATTACCTTCATACATGTAGGGACGACCGTTGCTTGAGGCGGATTAAATAGACGCCACTTTGGGTACTTTGAAAATTCGCCTGTAGGTCGTTTACGATAGAACTCCCTACACGTAAACTCTGTCAGTGGAGGGATTACCAACAATGAATCAATGGACGTACAAACCGAACGGCTAGCTAAACAGACGCGGCTTACCAAAAAAGCATTCGCGCGATGTCCATTGGCGTCTGGGTATGCGGTCTCCAAAGGTAAGCCATCACAAATTTCGAATTTCCAGATCTTTCACGTAATTCGACTTTCTGCACTTGATTGAGCACGTTATATTTCTTTCACATGTTTACCAGAAGCTGTATATACGTGCACGTTGCACGAAAAGAGTGAATACGTAGCTATGCTTGAGTTTGTCAAACTTTGTATTTTTGTTTTTCTTTTTTTATGTATTGTGTGAAGTTTCTAACACGTTTCTAGTCTAAGTTCCGAAACGATTATCAAAATACAGGAAATGATGCGTTAATTTAAAATCGATATATTTTTAAAATTAGTTCATGCAGTTTTAGTCTAGGTATTGTCTGTCATGCAGTTGTAAAATACAAAACACGCACTAGAATATTTAAAACAGCCTACAGACTATGTACCTGATATTTTTACATCCGTGCGCCGTCGAACCGTATCTGACAATGGGCGACAATCCAGGTTACATGGAATTCCACTGAGAAAGCTGCACTCATTGAAGTGGTGGTGTATGCATTATGGTTATGATCCTATTATGGGTGTGAGGATTGACGTTCTCAGTGTTACCATAGGGCAATGCTTTCAAATGAGTTTGCCCTGTGTCATCCCACGTGCCTTGAATCCAGTTCGATTCGTCTTTGTCTGCTTGTATTTCAAGATGTCGATTGATGACACTTTTGATGCGCTTGCTCCACCTAGAAAAATTCGATAAGTCAAACTTTCCTTGACCTCAAACGTTATGCCTTGGCTTCTTAAGTCCAGCGTCCATAGGCCTACTATCCTCACTACCTACTCTTTCTGCTCAGTTTTTATTTCACTCATTCACTCACTAACGATAACCATGCGGGACAGATATTGATTAGAGATCGCATTGAGTCGTATGAGTTGTCCTAAGGCTTGTCAGTGTCACCGTTGCCGGTTGTCCTAGTATTGTATGATGCGCGAAGTGATAGATGGCGTCCACATACATCAAGTCAAACTAACGGCACCAACTGATCAAGATCGTTTCGCCAAAAAGCTTATACAAGTTGCACTCGTTGTTGTGGCCTTAAGTTGTAGTAGAACTGCTACAAGCGAATAGCTGGGTCGATCAACAAATCGATAACGCCTATAATCGTTAGAGCTTCACAACTATAAGAATAGGTTCTAAGGGTGGCCAGGCGTCTGTGGAAAGTTACCAAAATCAAGCTACGTGACGATTTTTGCATTTCACATTATACAAAATTCAATTTTGCATCAGTCCATCAGATTAATGAAGCTCGTTTTGCTGCTAAGAACAGGACAGAGACCCGGTGCCCGAAGCTTGCTTGAAAAAAAAATGGACGTATACTTATTTTTCCATATTTTATTTTTTTTTTTTGCCGATACTACATACTCTAATGACCTTTGAACTTCCGTAAGAAACTTAGCGCTATACTGGCAGAAATGAATGTTAAGTCTAATTAGCTGCATCCTGCCCACATATCCAGATGGCACTTCAACTTGAGTATTCTCAAGCGATGTACATTGCAGATCGAATAAAACCCGTTTTTCAGAAGCCGCCCATTGTATGAAATGCAATTCGAGGCGCCAAGTGGCCACAAAACGATAGTAAAAAGATACGCAGCACGCTCGCAATGTTTCTAAATGAATAATGTATACCTGACAGTCTTATTCGAAATATAAAACTTATACGTGTGGCAAATCGTCACCATTTCCACCTGAGGAATCCCTCTACATTTTGATAAGTGGTTATCAGAAGGCCAAATAGTAGTGGTAGTAGGATAAACGAGTTTTTCCAAACAGTCGAGAGCCTGGTAACGTTGGTCGCACAGTGAAGTGCTTATGTGAACAAGCATAGCCGTGGTACTTACACATAGATGCGATGCTGGCTGACGCTGTTATAGTGGCTGTTCGTCGCCATCGTTGTTCGAGCACAGGCGTAATCTTGCAAGAAGGGTCAGCGGAACATCGTACGCTAACAGCAAAACAGCTAAAGCATTGTTGTGATATCACTCCGTTCAGCTGTCCAAAGATAACGGACGAAAAAAAGGAAAAGGCAGAAAGTAGCTGCCGCTACAGGACGGCAGACCTACTTACAAGACGGGATTACCAGGACTATAGGCCGGCTACATGGCGACGAACAGATGGGTAAGCGACGAGAAAGAGCAACTAGGACAGATGGGACAAAAACGAGATCGCATAGTGGATTCCTTCCTCCTAGTTACTATTTCCACTGGCGTCATCTAACGTCTCTGTCCTCATTCAGATGTATTGCTATAGCCAGAACTGCCGAGAGCCACGATTTGCTCTAACAACAGCCGAGGCCGTCTGCGAGGGGCCAACTAAGTCCCCCGATCCCCGGACCTCTCTCGGTGATTCTAGTCTAAGAAGAACTGTGCACCGAGGGTCATAACAGAGAAGTTGCCCAACTATAATTAGACGGCTTCTCTGATTTCCATTGCGAAACTGGTAACAAACAAACAAGAAGAATAACATCACCACGGTAGTCGTTTATCTGTAAAACTCTTGCTGTAATTCGTAGTGAATTACGAGACGTATTAGCGATGCACACGACGCTGGCGTCCTAATACGAAAGATAAACAATTCTCTGCATAGATCCCCTTCGTACAGTCGAGTACGTTGACCGTCATACAGAATTTCTATCTAATGATAGCAATTTAAATTGAAACATGTAGGATGCACCAACAGACGAGGGAATAATGCACAAGTCAGGCGAAGTACTGAAATCACTGATTTATAGAAACAGGTACTTTATGGTTTTAATATCATAGAAAATGAAAATTGTCACAATCAGAACGTTCTCACGGTTGCATGCGATGCACTTCTCCCGAAACATTCTACGCTATATTTTATATATATATAGCAAGACGACTCTGGAATTGACAGTCTCCGATGTGTAGTCTGATTACGCGGTCGTTTGTCTATGAATTTAACTGTCATGGATTTTTAGCATCAACTAAAGAGGAAATTCTGTCCTGTCTAAACTTTGATAGAGAACATATCAGACTTCTAGTCGTTGATTACTTCGTAGGTGACGGCTAGTCTGTTTCCGCTGCTGTACGGGTATCAACCTCTTGCTTATTTTGTGTTTAAATAGGTGTCTGAACTAGAATGCGTGTGTCATATGGAATCCGAGAAAATTTACAAACGCTTTGGTCGTGTATCTTGCAGGTTCAGAAGTTACATCCTTCATGTCAGGTCGTAACATGCGAGTCAAATAATTAATGCACAAAAATTACCCCGCGTTTCTCGAATTTTTAGAAATAGGTTTTTAACCTAGATTGCTCACGCATCCGACTTGTCCCGGTTATAATTATAGCAGATACAGCGTTCATGCATCTGCAGATTATTTGGATCGCTATTTCTGCTCTATGTACACTCTCGCATAAACTGACTGTAGACTAGTTCGCGCATGAAAGTATTCAGCCGACCAGGATCACCCACGCAAAAATCAGCAGGGGCATATGGGTAAAAATTAGGTCACAGGCCTGCTCCGGAAGGAAGAACCTTTCTCCTCCTCCATACGAAGGTTATGCGTAATCGTCTACAGGCCGTGTGCGACTAGCCCGCCAGCAGTGATAGTATTATTTTATCGTCCGTACAGTCTTCCGGTGCGTGCGACATTTTGCCACAGGGGCAGTGGACGTAATAACAGCGGTCAGCACTGAATACAGAGAATACGCTGAATAAACATTTATTATTATTGTAGCATTGCTTCGTAGACAGTTTACCAGTTTAGTACGCCTATTTTACTACTACCGACCCTCGTCACCCTTCTGGAATTTATCACCATTATATATATATATATATATATGATTATTAAAAGTGCCGCTTTTGATAGTGCAACAAGGAATTGCAGTTACAGTCTCAAACATAGGTAGCGTAAGGAAGCTTTTGTCTTCAAAGTCTTTGTAGCTAGATAGTTAACGTAGCAGTAAACGACATGAGTGTGCTACTTCACTGACAACAATGCCTTTTTATCGTATATTTCTATTCAGTTCCGGAACTGGTTGGTCCTTCCGGCTGTTTCCAGGTGTACGGACATCTTTGGGCAGAACTTTTTGGTTATGGGGTCTCTACTTTTTCTGCATAGATAATTAAACAACAAACGCATTGTATGGATAACAAATTACGCTCAATAGAAAAGGATGCCTTAAATATCATTTTAGAATACAACCAAAAGGCTATCTAACAGATCGACAAATATTGGCATGGCTGTAGAATGAATGGAACATAGTCCAGAGTTTTCCATGCAGTTTTAATTTCGTGGCACTTTTACCCGTGGAAGATATTTTATCGCTTGCGTTACAATACAGTTGTTCTATACGTTGTTTCAGGACGCTATTAGGTGTCCTTGCCGTTAGATTGCTGCGATTATAGAACGATGAAGATCTAAAAAACTAAATTTTTATTTCTGGATTATTGTTTATAAGATCCGTAATATTGGCTGGTGTTGCTTCATATTGTTATTCAGTCGATTGTAAGTAAGTTGATCTTATAGTTAACAGTAACCTGGATTAATGTTTTTACTTCTATTTTCGCCGCAGCTGTGAAACAATGCCTTAAATGAAAATTATTGAAGTTATCTACTATTACCTAAATAAGCGAAATGGGCCAGATTCCGGCTTGTTGCAAAAAAATCAATTTTCGCATTCTGTGAAACGTTATTAGAATGTTTTAGACGTTTTGTATTTACTGCCCATCTGTTCGTACTCGACGACATTTTAGCTCAAAAGGATATATGCGTCTTATATACGAAGCCCTAAAGTCAGTTAGTGTTTACAAAATTATTTTCTGAAAGGTATATTTAATTCATTAAAGGTATAAGCTACTGAAGGAAATTTAGAAGTCCACTCAGTTAAATAATTTAAGTTTCGCATATTTCATACAGAACGTGTCAACCATTGGCCACAGTCAATGTTGCATTCTGTTAGTTTATGAAGGAAGGTGATTTTTGTATTCTGTATTTCTGATTTGTATGTGATAATTCATAAAACAGGAAGCTATACCTGTTAGGCGTTTCCCCTTTTCAGTACACGGACGTACCGAATTATTCCGTTGTTTATGTACTGCGAAGTCCGTCGTGCAACTATAGTGAGCTATATCCTGCCATGTTCGAGACCATCAAGGGAATACGCAGCTGCGATCTTCAGTCTGGCGCCGTACAGAAAAAACCACAATGAAAGATTTATGTTTCTGCATTTCGTATCCTGATTGCTTTCGAATGTGCCATTTGTAAAAATATTCAAATAGCTCGTTTGGAGGAGCCAAGTACAGATGAAAATTTATCGACAACTAAGTGGTAAAAAGTAATTCATTGAATAAGAGAAGGGGTCTTGCATGTATACGACACACATAGGTCTCACAATTCTATCAACGTTTAGTAAAAAAAAAATAAATTCACAAATAATTGCTGTTAAGTGCATTTTATTAAGCGCGTGCAGAAGCCATTCGATTAATTTAATTGCAACGTAATCTTAAGCAAGCTTAATTAGCAGAAACACGCCACTTACATACACCAGTTAACCCGTTCCCAATAACCTAACCTATGAAAAAAAAATTTCATTTCACAGTCCAGTATTATGCATTTGCTAAGCGTTATCGTGGGGTATCGTGGTACGGGTAGAAGATCACGGATTATGAGGCTCTTGAGGGACTGCGAACTCATCTCGCTTCAATGGTAAAAATGATTATTATGGAAAGAAACTCGAAGGAGCTTTAAAACCTTGATGCGGTTTTGGCT